CTGGGCAACAGTGCAAGACCCTGTCTCTTAAAAAAGAAAGAAAAAAGGAAATTTGGATTAGGGATGCTCAACCCAGTGAGTATAATCCAAAATTTGGTTAAAAATCTGAAACACTTCTGGTCCTCAACCATTTCAGATAAGGGATAGTCAATCTTTATAAAGACTCAGTTAGTTACTGGGTATCTGGGGAAACATGCATATCAGGTTCCCAAAAGATTATTGGTTTAGGCCCACATTTTAATAGCTTGGAAATCCAGAATACTCTTCTGGTGACCAGCTCAGACATAGTCATGATAATATAGGACCTCACTTAACATGGCTCCCTATTTTCCAGATAAGCGTGGATTCCTGGTTCATTCGTGTTCTGCTTGGCAGTGATCTGATTCGTGTCAGTGCCCACAATGCTACCACAGGTAAATTGTCATTTGATAAGGCTGTTATTTGAAGTGAAATTTTGCTTTCACATTTAATAAGCCAAATTTGAAAACCTAGATGGTATTTGTCGAAAGGAATATAAAAATTTTATTCAAAGTGATGGTAAAATAGGTGTCTTCAGAAATCTTGGAATTGTATTGAATGCTCAGCATTGTTTTTCATACGTGTAACTGTTTTAAATAAATCAAAGAGATTATGTGTTCTTTCCTGAAAAGTAAAATAAACTGTAGACATTTACAATTCTATATATGGTTTCTGAGGAATTAAGTGAAGAATCTTGTGTCTTTCTCCCTTAATCCGTAGTCCTTTAGAGGAGGTAGGAAGGGCCCAGCATTAGATAAAACACAGGGGATGGGTGGGTGCTTGGGGGGATTGGTCTTTGTTTGGTCTCCACATGTTTGAGAGTTTATTAAGGCTTACTGCTTAGTGTCTCACAACTTTTTAGCCTCACATTCTTCATGTGATATTTCCTTGTTTTTTGGTGTTTGTAGTTGCACCTTCTGTAGGAATTACAAGACGAATTAACTCATCAATGGCAGAACCAGTTAAAGAAGAGGCCAAAACTTCAAATCCAACTTCTTCACTAACTTCTCTTTCTGTGTCACCAACATTCAGCCGAAATATAACTCTGGGACCCGTCAATTCTTCAGACTCTGACAATGGGACCACAAGAACAGCAAGCACGAACTCTATAGGCACTACAATTTCAGCAAATGGAACGTGGCTTCCAGATAACCAGTTTGCGGATGCCAGAACAGAACCCTGGGAGGGAAATTCCAGCACCGCAGCAACCACTCCAGAAACCTTCCCTCCTTCGGGTACTGGAAATGATTCTGTTTGTTCTTTTGCTCTTTGAGTTTATTCATCCTTTTATTACCTTGTTCGTGTTTTCTAGCCTTAAAATTTCTTCAAATAAGTAAAACTGCTCAAGTGAAGTAGTAAAACCTAGATGTGGAATTTTTAGGAATATCTGGTTAGCATGAATGAAGAGGATAGAAGAAAGATTCTGGAGAATATTATTCCGCTAGGTGGGATTCTGGTTAGATTGGAAGGATTCAGTGTGCTTAAAGGTAGAGAAGAAGGCTAGTAAAAGACAAGAGAAAGAGGGGAGCTCGTTGATGATGCAAGAGACTGAAGATGAAAAGATACAGAGACTGAGTAATAAGATTAGGCTTGAAAAAGGAGGGGTCCATGGAGACCATGGAAAGGAGAATGGACATGGATGTCTATGACAATCAGATATGGAGTGGGAGGCCAGTGGCCGGGGTGGCATTAGAAAGAGGGGCTCTGGGAAATGGTTACATTGCAGTGCCAGTTGTTCAGGGCCACAGGTTGAAGCAGTAGTCCCAAGGATAAAATCAGAGACATGAATCTGAGACCAGGGCAGGTAAAACAAATTTCTGACCTCTTTGAACTTTAGGTACCTTATCTATAAAAGAGGATTCAAGAGTTCCTCAAAGGGCTTCTGTGAAGAGTAAAGGAAATAATCATTACCTGATTGCTATGTA